GCCCAATTGCTCGAGCTCCCCATACACACTCACTAACCACATATTAGCACCGAAGTACCCGTGTATGTCACAACGTAGTGAGCATGCTATCGGACGGGTGATCCCAGACAATAGCCGTTAGTAACTTGTCCAAGGTTATTCTATGACCGGGTGGCGCCGAGGTTCGAACACAGTACCTTTGAAGTACGTGCTGAATAACATAACCACTCAGCCACAGCGGCCTTAAAATCCAAGGACAGTTAAATTCACTGTCCGAAAGTCATATCTCTCTCTTTTAGGTATACGACCAAGGAAGAAACATTAGCCTTTTCTCATTTTGAAAATTGATTCCTTATTTTCTCGTAGGTCAATATCCAGATGGGATTAAATAAAAGAAAATACTCTGATGAGCTATTAGAAAATGGACTACACCGTTAAAAATTTGTATCCTTCAAAAAACAAAAAAAAGGATCTTCATTTGCCCCCTATAGAGATGATATATGTGTTCTTCAAAGATTTACAGAACTAGAATCTTCAGTTTTCTGAAGAATAAAATCTTTGTTCTTTAGGTTTTTTAATCTCTATAGGGGACAAATTGTCAATGAGGAAAAAGCAGTTTTTATGGATAGCACTTTCTAGCATCTTTCAGCATTTTCTAGTATCTTTCAGCACTTAAAAATTCAAGATGGCGGATAAGGCCGTGTATTCAAATCCTGCCATTTTCTTTGTTTTTTTTCATCCTTTTCCTTTAATAAAGTGGAAAAAGTTCTTGAACTGCAATAAAAAAATACATTGTTTATTCTTGTTATCTAGTATCAATGACGTGTTTCAGTCTATCACTAGATGAATGTGTTTTATTGTCTGTTAGCAGCCAACACGCTGATTGTTTGTGTAAGTATTTCCATTTGTCGCCAATCCTGATATGAAAATAAGAACTTGATCGTTTTGGATTAATTTTGTCCAACACCCGGATACTAGAAAATGTCGCTCTTTATGTTTGAGATAAATCTCTCGATAAAACATATTCATCATCGTCTTCATTTGACAAATTATCTTCACTATAATGACCTTGATCATCTGTTTCATTGTCCCAGCAATTATCCACTAAATCTTCGTCTTCATCTTCTGAACTGAAGTTTTCTATTTCAGAGCCACTCGCTCCAATATCGTCTATTGTTTTTGAATATCATTGATCAGTGGATTTTTTGACTTTTAGAGAATATACTGAGAACATCTACCCTTGTTGCCTGAACGTCGTTATTCCAGTTTTGAACTTGAAAAGGCTTATTATTCCTGATACATCGTAAAGAGGTTTGGAAATTCGCAACGGACGATGGTGTTATGTAGGGAGCGTGAGTTAGAAGAGTTTATGAGAGGTTATTTAACGATGTTCATAGGCGGATGGGAGAGTTGATATGTCTCGCTGATATTTTAACAGATTAGGACGCTTCAAATTCGTCACCTGTTCTCCTAAACATTAGAGGTGCCACTTTACTATTGTTATTAGCTCACTACACAATAACAAGTAATAGAAATTATCACTCACTTCTAGTAATAAGAATTACTACTTTTATTGTTATTTTCTATTTTATTACTGGTTGCTTAGTAGTAGATAAGAAAATCAAGAAGTAATAAGAGTAATAAGAAACTAATAAGTAACAAACACGGGATTGAGTATTTAGTAAAAACAATGCTTCATTATATATTTTACTCCGAACAAATTTTACATCATAGATCTTGGTCGTTGGTCGGGATTCTGAGTCGCTAATTCGTTCAAAATACGTTTACGCAATGCACCGACTGGAGAAGCTTTCGTCTGAATACACCTGAGAACAAGCTGCGTCCTAAACCAAGTCCGTGAGTTTAATTCAGAAAAGATTTGTAAGTAAATTCACCGCGTAGAGGAGACATTTTTGAAGACAATTAGGCGTCTTCGAGCTCTTTGTGAGATTTTTTCATGAAGCAGCATTCAACGTACAGTAGACTCTTAGCCTATCTTCTTGTTTCCCTGTTAGTTTTGCTAGTATGCGACCTTCTGTAAATTTAATGCTGCTTCATGAGAAAGTGTCGTAAAGAGCTCGAAGACATCTCATTTTCTTCAAGAATGTTTGCTCTATACCATGAATTTATTTGCAAATATTTTCTGAATTGAACTCACGGTCTTGGTTTTCTGCGATTTGGTTTTCCAGATCCTGGTTTAAGAGTTAGTGAACCAAATTCAAGTCTTATGCGAACTTCACCCCACCAACGTCCTTCAAATATTCTAGTTTTCACCGGTCGGCTCGGTTTGATTTTCAAACTCTTTACTCAATGGTGGTACCATGTTCTTAGAATGGTACACCTGGACCGATTCATTTAGACGATTCAAGAGCAGAGTTTGAAATAAATGTCAGTCTATCTCAGACTGACTAAGCATTTTAGAAAGTTTTATGGGTGAGAAAAGCTGGTGACTATCGATCCTGCTAATTTTCTCGACAACGTCAATCAGATCAGTTCCAGATCTGCTACTGCTTTCTTCTGAAACTTCTCTCAGAACAGTGTACATTATACCGGACTCATTATCATTGAAAAACTTTTCCGCATTTGCCAGATTGGAGCATGCAGTTGCACAGAGCTCTGTATGACAGAGCAGTATTATATTCCTGCCAGATCACAATCGCTATAGTGCCATTTGAACGTAGACCGATAATTTGGGGATGATGTTGGTCAGCGGAGTACATGCTTTCGAAAGTGGCAAAAAACGCTCTTCGATGTATCCTACGATAGGACCAAGGTTCATTTTGATATCGTTGATGATGTTCATAGTTATCAGATTTGGTTCTCCAGTAACAGCTTCTACGACTCGACGATTTCGATTGATGGAGTCGCCAATTGTATTATCATCTTCCTCCGCTGTTACTATCACTTGCCTCTGATCAACTGTTTCTTTTGCATTCAAGTTTAGATGCAGCCTGTCAAACTTGCGCAGTGACTCACTCTTGATCTCGACGTTTTTGCTGGTTACTTGTGGTTGACCAGGTGTCTCTCCGTCATCGAATGTAACTGCTGTTTGATCGTTCCGAACTTCGTCATCTTTCACCACAACTCGTCTTTTCTTTTTATGATCTGTCACCTTCTTTTGCTTTGTCGATGACCATCGATGCTCAAAAATCAAAGAACAATTATCTTTCAATGACAACAAAGATCAATAGTTATTGGTACCTAAGAATCATTGAGAAATTATCGAAAGCGTAAGGGTGAACTCCAGTGCGTCATTCATACAAATCGTCCTGATGAGTTTCAAAACTTTATCCTCATCTCTTACTATCAATCTCTCCTGATCGCCTTCTATCTTCTTCTGTTAGAACTCGACAACAACATGTGTGTACGTTTCGACCATGAGATTTAATTTCATAAAACCTTAATAAACGATCAAGTCTTAAGTACACACCTGCTTATTTTCAGGCTTGCGGTCATTGACCTGACCATCAAGTGTGATAATATTATTACCACCTTCTTGTTCTTCGATTTTAAAACTCTTGATGTTCGCATGCGCTTTGTGACCAACATGCGTCTGCTTGTCCGATAATTTATCAACGGACATGTTGTTGATATAAACTTTATTTAGTAAGAAAGAGAAGAACAGTACAAAGATTAAAATCGCGGCCTAGGGACCACATTACATTATTCTTAGACTATCCATAAGAAGGGGGAGATCCTGAAAGAGCGCAAGAAAACAACAGCAAAAGGGACAAGCATAAAATGACAATGGGAGAGAAAGCATCAGATTAAACTTTTAATGCGTGAACACACATGTATGTTTCTATTATGTCGCTACACACACGCGCTTTTTGTACTATGCTCCAGTGCTCTGCTGAGAATGTAGTTTATCCCTTGCTCGATCTAATGGTCAAAAAATTAACTTTTTACCTTGTAGTTTTAAATCTTGTAGTTTTTAAGTTATTTGCCATAGAAAAGTTAGTAGTAGCAAAATCATTTACTTTGATTTTGATCACGCGTCAGTTTCTCTTCGAAACTTTTTTTGACGGTATTTCACTTAGTACTACTCACAGTAAAAGTTTGGATGTTTTCAAAATGAAACCTTCAGTAGATATAGATGTACCAAGTTCCATAAAAAATGAAGTATGGGTTCGTGAGATTCAAAGGTAGAAGTATTCCAAAGGTAGAACAAGTATTTTACTATAGGTAACTTTTGACACTGATGTTAGGTGAGTGTTATCTAGTCAACCTGGTGAGAAAACTTAGGAATATCGTATAGAAAATCATGTTTTCTAAGAAAAATATGGTAATGTCACATCGTTATACGATTTTCCTGTTTTGAAAACCGATATGGCTTTTTTCGAAACAAAACATCAGTTCCTACATAACTTGATGTTGGCTAAAAAATTAGTACGGTTAGTGACTTTTGACCGATGTGAATATTGAATGACAAGTGTGAAAACAATCATGATGCAATAAGAAAAAACTCCTGTTACACACCTGTTTATTCGAAGTATAATGCACGAATGTCAACAAAGTTTGTATATTTAATTATGATTAGTTAACACTATTTAAGAAGCATTGGAAAAATTTGTTCACTAATTATATTACGTTTGTCGATTGTTTTTTCCATTGCTCTATTTAAAATAAACCTTTTACGCGAACGCGATTAGAGAAATAGAGTCATTTCACAATATAGAATTTGTATGAGAGTAAAAATGTGCGTGCTACAGTGATTGATATCACTCATAAATACGTAGTTTTAATGAAATAATTTGGTATTGCATCGCTTTTGACCTCTAAAATATTATATTTCTCTTGAAAAAATGCATCTTTTAATATGACAAATCTCAATCTTCTTTCATAAAAATTTCAGTTAATTGTGTGATCGGTATCGGTAGAGCATGAGTATCTCAAAAACTTTTGTCTTCAGCGGCGTCAGTGCAAATTATCTAATTCAGTAACAAAACTCGCTTTTCTGCATGAATTACAGACAAATCGTAGTATTTCTATCAAACGTACTTGTAACTTATCCGAGGTTCATGAGGTTCATTTAATGAACCTCGGAGACTAATAGTCTCAAGTATTATTTATTTTACAAAAACGTAATTTGATTACAATAAATGAAGAGAAAGAGGGTCTACACCCAGGTCGATGAATCCTATGCAGGATCCTACAAGATCCTATGAGATCCTACAGATTCTAGGATACCATAGGATTCCTATAGGAATCTAATGAATTTCCTATAAAAATCCTGTCATAAGATATTATATGAATCTTACCATAGGATCGCAGCGAAAATTCTACTCAGATTCTTATTGTAGGATTCCTATAATTCTATGAAATCCTGCGATAGGATTTCATAGGATTCTTTTTTTTTTTGTCGTCTTTTCTATTCACCATTTTGTTTGTCAGAGAAACAGTTATAAATAAGACGCTGGAAAAAATAAAAAGTCGGTTTGAATAAGCTCAAATTTTCGCATTAAACAGTGTGAATATTAACAATCGAAGCTCACTCATTGTTCTTGGGTTCATTCCAGTCCTGATTCAGAGACTGGGAAAGAACCCAAAAGAGAAAAAGTAAATAAATAAAGCTAGCAGTAAATAAACAGCTGATTTAAGACTGAATATTTTGGTTTCAAATATGCCAGGATTCCTGTGAAATCCTACGTAAGATCCTATAAGACCTTGCGTAGGATCTGATTGGATCCTACGACGGGAAAGTATAGGATAAATTCAAGACAAAGAAGTCTTACGTCTTTCCTACAAGATCCTATGTGGATTTGGTAGGATCCTACGGTAGGATTGTTTGACCTGGACATTATAAAATAAATAACTAAGCAATTAAACTTCATCACATCTCTTTTTCATTCACTGTTTTTTCTTCTTTAATTCCAGAGGCTAATCTGGCTGATTCAGCACGTACTGCCCAATCTTTGTTTTCATGTCCATGAGCTAAATCTGTGATTATATGATTATGAATGGCATTCGCGTACGGTAATAGTACACCAACTTCCTCGCCTGCCGATATCATCATATTTATATCTTTCAAGCCACCACGTAATGCAAAAACATCTTCATTTTTATAATTCCGTATTCGAAGATTTTCACTGTGGGCTTATAAAGCGGGATTGGGAATAATAATATCTAGAATTTTCTTCGTTAAATTTGACGGTACATTCCAGTTTTCATTCAACGCATACAGTTGGCCCAAAAACTAATACATGTTACAAGAGCGTAATTAGCCGATAGTTTCAATACGTTCGCATGTGTACAGTCTTCACCAACTTCTAGAATTCCACCTTTCAATGTATAGCATTGAACAACAGATCGCCAACGTTCCACAGCTGATTCTGGACCACACAAGAATGTTCGAAGTTTTCCACTAGCAGCGATATCAGGACGACCAAGCATCTACAAAATAATAAGAATAAAAACAAAGAAGGGTACCGATCAATCGTATGCTGGTCCCGAAATATAATGAAGGCCATGTTTTTTGTATAGTTCAGCTGATTCTTTAGCAGCCATCGGACTAATTGTTGCTGTATTGATATGTATAGAATCTTTTCAAGCACCTGCTAAGAGAGCATTTTTGTCTAAAATAGTCATCAATCAGCTGTAAATAGCGACCATATATCCACTGTCCTTTTTATAATTTCTAATTACTAATTTTTTATTACAAATACATCGAAAAATTAATTAACATGTATTTAAGAGAAATCAATTTCCTTTTTTTTAAAAGTCATTGCAGTTTTTATATTTTTAAATTGATTTAAAAGATTTTTGTTTTAAAGGACAACGGGCAGTTGCAAGAAACTTGTCCAATATATTTTTGAGAAGATAATGACTAGAACTGATCAGAAACCGTTCGTTATTCAATTTTTAATATTTCTGCGCCTTAAAAGTTGATTGTAGACTACCATATGCTGGAATTTTTAATCATCTCTAAGCATCGAGCCAAAAAGCCTGCTCGATGATATTTATTCATTTTTCTCTGGAAGTTCGATGTTCTTAATAGAATTTTATATACGAAAACATGCGTAATTAAACGGGCTTTCACGTCGTTTCAAACTAATGTCTTCACAGAGTTATGGGTCAAATATTATCTATGACTATTTGCTTCCCGTATATGTCATCCGCATTGAATATACATAGACATTTTTCCAAATGCTGAGCAACAAGCATAATAGATTACCGCTTACTGCTTCAAACACTGCTTTTTCGGTAAATAAACAACTAACTATAACATCAGCATTTTCAGCTGCTTCCTTTGAGGATGAAGCCGATTTTGCACCAGCGTTGGCCAAATTCTAAACGATCAAAAATGAAGAATGGAAAAACATCAATGAATTCTTCCCATGTGCTGAAAATCGCTTCATTTTTGTCGATTAATCGCGATGGTTGAAAAAATCGACGCTCAATCGCGATTCGGGAAAAAATGGTCATTTAATCGCGATTAAGTGATAATTTTTTCGTGCATCG